ACAGAATGTGGGCTTCCCTGAAGTGTCTCTCCTTGCGCTCCATCTCCAGTTTAGCTTGTTGTTGTCTCTGGAGCTGCTCCATAACCGCCTCCAGTTTGACTCCAGCCGCACTTCCGAAAGCCGCCTGGGAAAATGCACCAGCCAAACTGCTGTCCTGAGACAAGCTGGGCTGGATTGTGAAGGAAAATAAGTAAAATAATTCTGTAAATACATTTTATAAAAAGCTAACTCCATTTTTTCCCACTTTAAAAAAATGTTTGTTTTAAGATTAAGAAAGTACAGCATATTCCAAAACAGTTTGTAAGAGTTCAAATAAGAGAAAATAAGAGTTCAATATAATTTATAATTAACATTTAAAGGGCTAGTTTGCCCCAAAATGAAAATTCTGTCATCATTTACTCACCCTCAAGTTGTTCCAAACCTGAATGAATTTCTTTCTTCTGCTGAACATAAAAGATATTTTGAAGAATGTGGGTAACCAAACAGTTTTCCTCATACTACAGAAGTCAATGGGGACCAGCAACTGTTTACTCACATTATTCAAAATATCATGTTTTGTTGATATTTAGCAAAAGAAATAAAATCATACAGGTTTGGAACAATTTCAGGGTGGGAAAATTATGACAGAATTTTCATTATGGGGTGAAAATATATATAAATAAACATTTGAATAACTAAAATATTTGTAATAACTAAAAGTAACGTTTTTAAATGCTCACGCAACACAACTAAACAAAACAAAACAATCACACTGTTTTTGAGTAACTTGAATTCTTTTAATTCGAACTAACAGGCATTAAAGTTCGAATTAAAGACGCATTATCAAATGATTAAAGGACGTGGCTGAGGAATTAAAATGAACTTAATTCGAATCGCATACAAAGAGAACACAAATACGCGTAAACAAATAAGCACAAACGACAAGACAGAAGAATTCAAATTTGTTTAATTTAAATGAAAAACAAATACATGTAAGCAAATCATCACAACGGACATGGCCGATTGGAATTCGATTTAATGTCACAAGAATTTTTATTCGTATTAACAGTATTTATATGCAGTGTTGGGGAAAGTTACTTTTAAAAGTAATGCATTACAATATTGCGTTACTCCATAAAAAAGTAACTAATTACGTTACTTAGTTACTTTTTATGGGAAGTAATGCGTTACGTTACTTTTGCGTTACTTTTTAAATCTGGACAGGGCTTGCTTGTTGTTTTTAAAATAAAAAAGTTATATTTTTGGCAAATATAAAAGCCTGTTCACACCAAAAGTGAAATGAATAAGCCTCAGGCTGAAGGAAGTGTAAATTTACGTCCGTACAGTAGAATGCAGCAGAAGAAATTTCAACACTTCAGCAATAAAATAAGACACACAAATGTTTGTCTAGAGTAATTTGTGCTTATTAGTATGGTTGAACTGGATCATCGAAGGTCAGAAGCAAAGACATTGGTTAATAGAATCGGATTAAATACATAAAGGATATTTGTGTTGTTTAACATACTTGAAAAAAAGTAATCTGATTACGTAACTCGCGTTACTTGTAATGCGTTACCCCCAACACTGTTTATATGTCCCAAAAGATTAACGTCGCATACCGCGGCTCGCTAATTGCCCAGTAGGCCAAACTACCTTTGACCCCCCCACAATAGTCTAGAAAGTAGAACGACCGGATGTCCGGCCAAAACGGCGTGTCGCTTTTCATTTAGTTAAATAATTAATATTTAGCCAAATCCAGTCGATTTATGCTGTTACTATACAACTAATTAAAGCACAGTTTGATAGGTGAGCGCAATAACAGAAGATATTCAGTTCACAGTCGAATCATGGCTGCCCAAAAGTATGGCGCTCTTCCAAAAACAATTAAGCTATTAAAAGAGAGAACGAACACACAACGCAACAAAGTATCGCGTTCTGATGGAAACAAACGGAGATGTGTTTGACTTTTCGAATCCGGCGGCACGCGAATTGGAACTTTAACAAATAAACAGCGCGAGTTGTATCATCAAAAAAAAATCTTGAAATCATGACGTGTACAATGTGGATTTTCGCTACATATAATAGCTTGACCACTCACACGAAGGTAATTAGAAAGAAGACTGACTCATTGAGTTTATATCAAAATTTCGTAAATGTACATGCAATATTTTATACACTCGAGGTCTGCTGATTAAATATTACAGTAGCTTATCAATACATTCAACAGGGCTCTGTGCCAACAGGACGGAACTCACCACTTGCGCTTTGCTGCTACTGGAATTGTCCACCATCACTCTTTTCCTAGATAAACCACCGTGCGTGTTTTGCTCAGCGCACCGAGTCCGTGTTCATCCACCCGAACGTGTAATATCCCCTCTGATAGAACAGTAATAAACCTCGGTGTTTGCAGAGTGAAAAAACACTCGACACTGGGGCCAGCCAAAGGGGAAACGCCTGACCTCACCTCCCGAACTGCGCGCTGAGGAACTCCCACAGTCCCCTCGACTTTTCCTCCTCCAGCCGGAGCCAAACCCCCCGCACACCTCTACCAAGTATTGAGTACATGTACAGTAAATGAACATACTTTCCAGAAGGCCAACAATTCACTAAAAATGTTTTTTTTTATTGGTCTTATGAAGTATTCTAATTTGTTGAGATAGTGAATTGGTGGGTTTTTGTTAAATGTGAGCCAAAATCATCACAATTAAAATAACCAAAGACTTAAACTACTTCAGTCTGTGTGCATTGAATTTATTTAATACACGAGTTTCACAATTTGAGTTGAATTACTGAAATAAATGAACTTTTCCACGACATTCTAATTTATCGAGATGCACCTGTAAATTCTTAAAATTCAAACCAACATTAACTTAAAGGCATTAGAGTTCGAATTATCGACGCAATCAAACGACACGGTTGAGAAATTCAAATGGACTCAATTCGAATTAGATACAAATAGAACACAAATACGCGTAAACAAATAAGCACAAACGACATGAAGGAGGAGAGTCACATTTGTTTAATTTAAATGAAAAACAAATACGTGTAAGCAAATCATCAAAACGGACATGGCTGGGTGGAATTCGAATTAATTTCGCAAGAATTTTAATTCGTATTAACAGTATTTATACGTCCCAAAAAGATTAACGTCGCATTCCGCGGCTCGCTTATTGCCCAGTAGGCCATCCTACCTTTGACCCCCCATAGAGGCGACCAGTCGGGATAGTAGAACGACCGGATGTCCGGTCAAAACGGCGTGTCGCTTTACATTTTGTTAAATAATTAATATGTAGCCAAATCCAGTCGATTTATGCGGTTACTTTATCACTAATTAAAGCACAGTTTGATAAGTGAGCGCAATAAAAGAAGACTTTCAGTTCACAGTCGAATCATGGCTGCCCAAAAGTATGGCGCTCTTCCAAAAACAATTAAGCTATTAAAAGAGAGAACGAACACACAACGCAACAAAGTATCGCGTTCTGATGGAAACAAACGGAGATGTGTTTGACTTTTCGAATCCGGCGGCACGCGAATTGGAACTTTAACAAATAAACAGCGCGAGTTGTATCATCAAAAAAAAATCTTGAAATCATGACGTGTACAATGTGGATTTTCGCTACATATAATAGCTTGACCACTCACACGAAGGTAATTAGAAAGAAGACTGACTCATTGAGTTTATATCAAAATTTCGTAAATGTACATGCAATATTTTATACACTCGAGGTCTGCTGATTAAATATTACAGTAGCTTATCAATACATTCAACAGGGCTCTGTGCCAACAGGACGGAACTCACCACTTGCGCTTTGCTGCTACTGGAATTGTCCACCATCACTCTTTTCCTAGATAAACCACCGTGCGTGTTTTGCTCAGCGCACCGAGTCCGTGTTCATCCACCCGAACGTGTAATATCCCCTCTGATAGAACAGTAATAAACCTCGGTGTTTGCAGAGTGAAAAAACACTCGACACTGGGGCCAGCCAAAGGGGAAACGCCTGACCTCACCTCCCGAACTGCGCGCTGAGGAACTCCCACAGTCCCCTCGACTTTTCCTCCTCCAGCCGGAGCCAAACCCCCCGCACTTAACGCACATTTAAATCCCGCCCCGCTGGCTCGTGCAACATGTTACTACGTTCTTACGTTTCCCCTTTGCAAGCAACTAAGTAAAATATTTATAGCACAAAAGCCGATTGGAGTTAACATACACTTATGTGGCTGTTTCATGGATCTAATATTAGACTGCCATTTTTTATTTTAGTCTGGAAATTCTGACCCCAAATTAGCCACATTTACATATGTTTATAAAAGAAACGGAAATGAACAATTATTAATCGTACGATGGGGAAAACACGTATTAATCCAAAGTTTTTTTATTCACTAAGTATACACAACAGTTTTAAATGTTTTGATTGTGATTTGACTTTTTAATATGATTTACTTTGAACGCATTCCTGCTACGCCCTCCACTGGTTCAAAAGTGCTGTAAAGTTTACTATATCATTATAGCTGGTGTCAAGCAGAAAAACAAAAACGGTTTGCTGTCCACCTTATTTTTAACGTAACAGCGGGTGCGGCAATTTTTACCGTGAATGTGCGAGACTTCCGGTGCTGGCCGCTTTCCAGTTATTTTAGCTGTGCAAAAACATTCCGTTATGTTGCTCAATTTCATGATGTTCATTTATTATCGTAGTAGTCTAATCATAAACACACTGGTTTGTAGCGTAAATGGTTTTGCCGTTTACTGCACTTTTATTATTCTATTTACCTACAGCTGTTAATGAAACAGAAGTCTCGCACATTCACAGGTAAAATAGTTTGCTTTTTTATTAAATTCCAAATAAAACAATTTAGTAGGTTCTCAACACATTTAACAGAAATAGTTTTCCATGTTGAAAGATTAGGAGGATAGATTTTTCGCTGTTGCGATTGATTTGAACCCTTATTTAAATTCTTTTGAATACAGTTAATACAAGTTTGAAGCAAAGTCTGAGGCATTAGATAAAACGCAACAAGATTGAGTAAAGATAAATCTCCCTTTATTAGGTCCATCAATATTTTACAAGCAAAAGAACATAATAAAGGCCAGTTAAATATAACACAAACACCATGACACGAGGCAAAGACTTCAAGTACAGTGGTCTACTCAGTCCAGAGAAGAGCAGCAGTCTCCTGGAAGACTCTGTAGTTAAATAGGAAAGATGCAATGGACGTTAAATTAAGTAAGAAAACATACATCTTGGACTTGCTTACAGGTTGATTTTTGTTCTTTAAAAAAAAAAAAAAAAAAGCATGCTGACACTCACTACAATCACAGACATCTATGCTTTGTCAATGTCAAGCTCCTCAGGTGTAGGGATACCAAGCTCATTGAGGGCAGGCCGCAGCTCTTGAAGAACGTAGGGGTAGATTTCTTTGTGTGGGCCAGCTTTGTCCTGTGTAAATAAATATAATAAATTAAAATAAAGAAATAAATGAGTATAATTTAAATTCTAATTCTAACTACAATTTATTTATTTTTTTTTCCAGAAAAATCATGTTAATTAATGCAGCTTCAAGACATGAATTAAATAATATCACTGTGAAATATTCTGCTATTATCCTGGAGTTTTATTGACCTTGACTGCCTCAAGGATGCGGATGGCACTGGCCAAATCGTTTAGCCTCCGACACGCTCTCAGGGCTGCCTCCAGGATCTTTGGCTCAGGTACCAAGTCATAACCGATCAAAGTGTTCATTCCTGAAGCGAAACAAAGGGGACATGTATTTACTCCACAGTCAGTTTGAGTTTTCTTCCTTGATGCAAATGAAAACCTAGTTCCTTGTTCCAAAGATTTTTATAGGTAAATGATAAACAGACTGTCATACATTTTTAAAGAAGTGATACTAACGGATCAAACTTAACCAGCTTTACAGGTTAGCAATAGCAAACACTAAAAACAAACAGAAACACTATTGTTACGGATGGAAACGGTCTGTCTAATCATGCGTTATAGATAATATATAATATAGAAATAAATATTAATAAATTTAAATGTAAAACAATATATGTGTGTTAAAAGACAATTTATATATTTTTATATAATATTTTAAGACAGTTTATATATATATATAAACTAACTATTTTATATATTATTTTTTTTAAATTCTTATTACATCAAAATTATTAATATTTATTATTATTATTATTATATACATTTTCAGAAAAAAGGGGACCAAACAACAAACAAAAAACATTTCAGGAAATATAATTTACTACAGTACTACATTGTACTGTATTCAGATTCAAGAGGATTTTAATTAGAACATATGGCCACTAAAATAAATTTATGAGGGTAAATTCTCACTTTACAAGCTGCCGATTCAATAACAAGGTCAAAGCGCCGCCGTCACCCACCTTTCCTCAGCTCCCAAGCATCGATGTCTGGCTTGTTGAAGTAAGTGACCCAGCGGGCATCAAACTCTTCATCTGTCTCCTGTTTGCCATGGGAATAAGAACGAGCAGCTACTGAAGCTGTGGAAGAGAAAGACCAGAGACAATCATTAGAGACTTTAAGCAAAAATGATTCACTTTATGAGCCTTAGAGAATGACATCCAGACAAATACTTTGACTTTATCACAGCCAAAGTACTTCCGGGAAGTACTGTAGGCGTAAAAGGGCCATAAATCTCATTATAAGACTATAATCATTTCGTCTGTGTATCAGTGTTGGTCAAAAACACTTAATAGTGCAGTGACGTTTTGCATACAGGCCTTGTTCCAGTTGGACCTGGTCCAGTGCTCTTGTTTGACTGGTACATGGTCCGTTGGGGGAGTATTATTTGAGCTAATGCTTAACTATCTGATAACAATAAGTTCAACTGCTATTCCAAAAATGAGACGGATAACACAAAACATGCAAACCAGATGTTTGTATGTTCATAAAGTGAAGTATATACTGATGACACTTCATTTGCATATGTGGTATGGGTTTTCACAGAGGTCAGTGCACTGTCACAGAAATCATTCTGGCTGATAGTATTAACTATAGCGACACTCAATATGAGTTTATGCGCATTCTTCATAGATGCAACCCTGCGGCGCACGTAGTCACTCAGTTGATGATGAAACTGCTGCAGAAGAGTATTTGTAAACCCCACAGCCTGATTGAAGAGCTCTTAAAACCCACGTATTTATATACTAGACTCGCTGTTTCAATGAAATGTCAACCTGACAGAAAAATGTGTCAATCTGGGATGCTTTCAGTTTGAGTGTCGCGTTTCCTCCTCGCGCTGGGCCCAAGCCTCACTCTAGTGGGTCATTACAAGGACACTGTGAGAAAACATTCACAAGACTTCATAATACATGACTGTGAAAACGCGTTAATGATATGGAAATGCTGTTATACAGACGATAACTTAGCGTGTGATAACCTCAGAGGGGTATAATCTTTCTTGTAAGGCACCGGTGCGGCTTTGGTTAGCTTAAGTGCTAAGCTAAATTCAAGGTGTTTCCGTTAACTCTGTCCCTTGTTGTAGTTTTTCCTATCAGCGGTTCCATAATTAATGGCAAATTGTGTATTTACCTGTATATTGCGGCCGTGACCTTGTTAAACTCCGAGCACCGGAGACTGAGAGTCGAAGGGCGGCTCTGAACATATTGCGGCTCACCGGGGCTCACGCGCAGCTCGGACTGAAGAACTACAGGTTCGCGCTGCGGACGCTAGTTAAGCTAGCCGACCTGCTAACACGCGACTGGCGTGTGACTGCGCATGCGCAGGGTTTTGGCAATAAAGCCGAGTATGGACTCTGGCTGCTCATGCTGATGTATAGCAAAGGGGGGTTTGCTAAAGAGGATTATAAAAGAGCATGAAGGACAAAAGATACATTTCTGCACTGTATACAAATTTATACACAGGTATTCTCTATGAGCGGCATCCAGTATGAGCACAGTTATATTTAACTTTCTGTAAATGTTTGATTCAATTATTGCTTAATATATTTAAATTGATATTTAACAATAGATTGCACAAAAACTTCTAAATAAAACAACAAAAACATACGGCAGCTGCAATGTTCTGCATTTATTGCATCCATATCTATTCCAACAAACACACAAGCAGTTCGTCATCATTTATATGACATTTAGGCCATCATTAGTAGACGATATTAGTACAATATTATGCCATTATTATCATCATAAATATTTTGATAAAAGTAGCTCAGTTTCATTAGATGTGCACTTTGCAATCGTAGCAATTGATAGGCTATAATGTTATTAGTGTTAGATATACATCAAACAAAGTAAATCTTTCGTCTTTTATTGAAAAGTTAACGAGAAAAATATGTTATAAAGCTGCCATAGTTTTGAGCTTCTAACCCTAAATGTGAATTTCATTTTAAGATAATAGAGCTACAAGCATGTGTTTGGAAAATAGTTGCTCTCACCAGCAGGGGGCAGTATTACATATATAAATACTCCATTTAAAGTTAACTGAAATTAAATAAAAAATAACGCTTGTGTTTCATTATTTTATTTAATTGCAAATGAAAACATTTCTAATTTAATTTAATTTATCCTGATGTACTAAAGTAACTAAAATAAACAAAACTTAATATCAAAAGAAATTAAAGTGTATTTGACCATAATTATGAAAATTTACTATATTTTAGGCTATATACTGTATTATTTATCATATTTGACAAAAAAAATGGACAATAAAAATGAAAAAAAAAAAAAAAAAATTACTAAAACTTTAAAAATAAAATTAAAATGGAAAAAATAAAAATATGAATAGAAACTATGATAGTATCCTAATTACACTAAAATAACCCTGATAAAAACAAAGGCACAACAGAAAATATGAAAAACATTGAGCAGGCAAAAAAAAAAATAAAAATTAATGAAGTGAATGAGTGTGAGAAATAGCCAAAAATAAATCATTTGGATTTATATTTTATTTTATTATCATTTAATTATTATGAAGTAATACTAAAAAAATCACTTGATCATGCATTTTATCACTCAGATTAAACATTCACATTTACTGCATCCTGATATGACCAAATTATACGACAGTTAAGCAAGTTATAAATACACACACACACAAAAGATTTATATGAATTCCTCCCTTTTATAGTAAGATTTTTTCACTGGTTGCAGTGCTGGACTTTTGTCCTGTCCCAGAGCAGCTCTCTTAAGACTGGGAAGATCATGAGAACAAGGACTCGCTGGTCTTTTTTCTGTCTTTCCAGTCCCCTGCGGTCCGTCTGGCCATTTGCTTTCCTCTGAGAGAGCGTTTATTTCGGCTGGAGGCTGGTATCCCGGCTCCTGCGGGTCCAGTGGCTCTTTGGACAGAAGAATACAAATGGAAGGAAGAGTTCTGTGTACGGTCATCTGAAGTGGGCCGCTCTCCTGGCTCTCCCACACCTCAGTCACTGTCCTGTACTGGAGCTTTGACAGCTGGTGTAAACCCCGCACCTTGCGTTTCATTATCTCCGCACAGGTGATGGTTTTGGTCACGGCCCGCCCCGTCCCGCTGAACACGACCTGCGATGCTGGAGCCGTGTGTCCGTCACCTTGAATTCGAGACATGGCAAAACCCAAAAGGTTCCTGATCTTGCTCCCTTCCTTCACGCGCATTTCCAGCACCTCAGATGGCAGTCCTGGGATTGGACATGGGATTGGTTCTCCAGTGGAACGGATTTTCCTGAATCCACCTTGCTTTGGTTTGCTAGAAGATCCAGGAGGGTTTGTGGGATTGAGTTGAGAGGGTTGGACAGATGTGGTGCATCTAGACTGTGTGCTATCATGAAGCTCTCGGCTCGGCATAAACATATTTATAGGTTGTTTTATATGTTCTTGGGGCTGCAGAACTTAGTACCACTTGATAATATTTCCCAGAACTGTGGATTTTTTACCTTCAAGAAGTTGTAATACATTATGTTGCTTTCCAGCATTAAAAAATGCACAGACGTGAGGGAAACCGAATGATCTTAGCTGCTAAATGTTGTGTGATTCCCAAAGCTCTGAACTGAATGACAAGCTGTCATTTACTTTATACTCTCTGGCCGTTGACATGAAAGAAAGAAAAAAATCTGTTCTGTAAATCGAGCAAATTCATCAAAGCTGAAAGTGCTGAGAATCAGCAATTTCTCAGTCACTACCTTTGAAGCATATTTCAGTCTCCGTGAGAAGGGAGCTGTAACCAAACAAGGCAAAAAGACGATGAGTTTAGAGACAGAACCGCGCTTTAAAGCCAACAAGCTTGGTTTGGTCAAAATGAAATATTATTTTAACTTTTATCTCAAGTCAGCATTTATTTTATGGATGCAACCAAGCATAGGATAGCCAAACGTATTCAAAATAAAATAAAATAAAATAAAATAAAATAAAATAAAATAAAATAAAATAAAATAAAATAAAATAAAATAAAATAAAATAAAATAAAATAAAATAAAATAAAATAAAATAAAATAAAAAAAGACCAATGTATTTAAAAATCCAACTGAAATAAAACGTAACATAAAATTAGAATAACATAAAAAAATGACATATATGAAATGTTATAAATAATATTTAAATATAAATAACACACCAAAAAATAAAATGAACTAAAATTAAAACATTATATACAAATTTAAATTAAAATAAACAAAAATGAAAAATCATATAATAATAATAATAAAATCCAAGTGTATTTAAATATGCACACAAATAAAATACAAAAAGTACAATATGAAATAATAAAAAGCCAATTACAAATCCAATTAAAATAAAATAAAACATTATACACACACACACACATATATATATATATATATATATATAATTACACACCAACCAATAAAATAAATATAATTAAATTCAGTTTATATAAAAAAATATAACAAATATTCTAATAAAATTAAACAAAATAAATTATTATTATTATTATGTCTTTTATAATAATAATACAAAAGCCATATAATATAGTATAAAAGCCTAATGTATTTAAATGTACAATTACACACAAATAAATAAACAAAACAAAATACAAAAACACTATGTAATAAACTTTAAATGTAATAAATAAAATATAAAGGATAAATAATAATATGAAAGCCTATTGTATTAAATATACTATTAAATATAAAATAAAATAAAATAAAATGCAAGACAACTTTATGGTACATGCACAAATGAATGTCAAACTGATTTAGAAAAATCTTTTAGTGATGCATTTACCTTTTTGCTCTCAAGAATTCTCAGAGTTCTGCTGTAAGCTGAAGTTCTGCACTGCGTTTTACCCTTGATGTCTGGTCATAATCAGAGACCTTTCGCATATTTACTCTTAAGTGGTGCCTGCTACACTCCAGAATGCACTGAAGACCCAATCTGAGGCTTGTGAGGGACACAGAGAGGGAGGGGAGCCTAGAGATCCTAAGCATCTCTTAAAGGAACAGTCACTGTGTCTAGCAAATGCTCTGTCTAGAATTTCATCAAAATTTCATCCTGGCAAATGCTTTCCCGAGTCCCCCTTTAAAGTTCTCAGTGTTAATGAAGTCCTGTCAATCAGCGCGTGTCTGTGGCTGATTAACATGCATGACTGATTAAGGCTGAGAGTTTAAAAACACATCCTCCCATGCATGACGGCACAATGCAGCCAGGAAACAATTATCTACATAAGCACAGTTGACTTATGCCAGGCATCTGCTTTTGAATATGGCTTTAGGCCAACTTATTAAATTATGAAATTGTGTTTACATATAAAACTTGCATGCTGAATTGAGACAGCACACATAAATGTAGGTCAAGAGACTGCCATTTACCGAGCAGGAGCTCATTGTTGTCCAAAGGTGGCTGTTTCGTCAGGTCTGTTTCTGCTTCTTCTCCCACTGTGGCTGCTGAGCGCTCTCGAAGTGTTAGAGCCCCGAGGCTGTGATTTCAATCAGAGAAGAAGGCCATGCGGTTCTGCTTGACAAAATACACAGTCTTTATCCTGAAGGGGAGCATCCAACATTCTAGAGACTGGGGTGACAGAAGGCAAGGCAAGCTTTCTGTTCAATGAGGCGAAGAGCACAATTATACACTGTAAAAATGTACTGTAATATGCTTTTTATATGCAGTTCGATTAACGGAAGATAAACGTGATGTTTTAAAGTTCATTATAAGTTGCTTTTCCTGCAACCATGGTCAGTATGAACATATAGACAAAGCACAAAAACAAAGCAGCATCAGTAACACAACACTAAAAATAATGCCATGAATATTTATTACATAATATCATATACAACATCAAACACTCCAATGATACACATAACTGACAACAAAAATATATAAATATAGCTTTTAAAAAAATGTAATATAAATGTGATGGTTCATGCAGTTCATGTTTCTACATAAATAAAATGCGATTCATAATTTTATTATATATTAGATAAAATTAGATTTGATAAAAAATATTAATATTTTTTACTGCGTAAATATTAATCATTTGAAATTACATAAATTAAAAATAAATACTTTAATTATAAAGAATTTATTTATGTAAGAAACCATTTTAAGAACAGCATAGTAAAATTACTTTTCAGAAACCTTTATGCTAAAAATGTAATTTAATATTTATTAAATTATTTAAATAATTATGTTTATTATTTGAAAAAAAAATTCAAACTAACTTACTGTAAAAGATTACATAATATATGTTAAAAGTAAATCTGTTTAATATTTAATAATTTTATATTAAACACTCCAATGTACATAACGGATAACAAAAATAAGAAGAA